GCTGTCTATACCAATGGGAAACTATACTCCAATACTAGCGGGTACTATGCTGTTCGTTATACCTCAATAGGAACTATACTGCCAATACTAGCGGGGTACTATGCTGTCTATACAATGGGAACTATACCTCCAATACTAGCGGGTACTATGCTGTCTATACAAATGGGAACTATACTGCCAATACTAGCGGGTACTATGCTGTCTATACCAATGGGAACTATACTGCCAATACTAGCTGGGTACTATGCTGTCTATACCACTGGGAACTATACCTCCAATACTAGCGGGTACTATGCTGTCTATACCAATGGGAACTATACCTCCAATACTAGCGGGTACTAAGCTGTCTATACCAATGGGAACTATACCTCCAATACTAGCGGGGTACTATGCTGTCTATACCAATGGAAACTATACTGCCAATACTAGCGGGTACTATGCTGTCTATACCAATGGGAACTATACCTCCAATACTAGCAGGTACTATACTGTCCATACCAATGGGAACTATACCTCCAATACTAGCGGGTACTATTATTATACAGTATTTATAAAGCGCCGATAGTTCGCTCAGCGCTGTACATTACAAAGGGGGACAGAACATGTGACAGAACAATAACAATACAATGCAAAACATGAGGGGAGCGAGGGCCCTGCTCTTTCCAGCTTACAATCTAGGAGGCTATGCTGTCTATACCAAATGGGAACTATACCGCCAATACTCGCGGGTACTATGCTGTCTATACCAATAGGAACTATACCGCCAATACTCGCGGGGTACTATGCTGTCTATACCAATAGGAACTATACTGCCAATACTAGCGGGTACTATGCTGTCTATACCAATAGGAACTATACTGCCAATACTAGCGGGTACTATGCTGTCTATACCAATAGGAACTATACTGCCAATACTAGCGGGTACTATGCTGTCTATACCAATGGGAACTATACTGCCAATACTAGCGGGTACTATACCGTCCATACCAATGGGAACTATACCTCCAATACTAGCGGGTACTATTATTATACAGTATTTATAAAGCGCCGATAGTTCGCTCAGCGCTGTACATTACAAAGGGGGACAATGACAGAACAATAACAATACAATGCAAAACATGAGGGGATCGAGGGCCCTGCTCTTTCCAGCTTACAATCTAGGAGGCTATGCTGTCTATACCAAATGGGAACTATACCGCCAATACTCGTGGGTACTATGCTGTCTATACCAAATGGGAACTATACCGCCAATACTCGCGGGTACTATGCTGTCTATACCAATGGGAAACTATACCTCCAATACTCGCGGGTACTATGCTGTCTATACCAATAGGAACTATACTGCCAATACTAGCGGGTACTATGCTGTCTATACCAATGGGAACTATACCTCCAATACTCGCGGGTACTATGCTGTCTATACCAATAGGAACTATACTGCCAATACTAGCGGGTACTATGCTGTCTATACCAATGGGAACTATACTGCCAATACTAGCGGGTACTATACCATCTATACCAATGGGAACTATACCTCCAATACTAGCGGGTACTATGCTGTCTATACCAATGGGAACTATACCTCCAATACTAGCGGGTACTATTATTATACAGTATTTATAAAGCGCCGATAGTTCGCTCAGCGCTGTACATTACAAAGGGGGACAGAACATGTGACAGAACAACAACAATACAATGCAAAACATGAGGGGAGCGAGGGCCCTGCTCTTTCCAGCTTACAATCTAGGAGGCTATGCTGTCTATACCAAATGGGAACTATACCGCCAATACTCGCGGGTACTATGCTGTCTATACCAAATGGGAACTATACCGCCAATACTCGCGGGGTACTATATGCTGTCTATACCAATGGGAAACTATACTGCCAATACTAGCGGGTACTATGCTGTCTATACCAATGGGAACTATACCTCCAATACTAGCGGGTACTATGCTGTCTATACCCAATAGGAACTATACTGCCAATACTAGCGGGTACTATGCTGTCTATACCAAATGGGAACTATACCGCCAATACTCGCGGGTACTATGCTGTCTATACCAATGGGAACTATACCTCCAATACTAGCGGGTACTATGCTGTCTATACCAATGGGAACTATACCTCCAATACTCGCGGGTACTATGCTGTCTATACCAATAGGAACTATACTGCCAATACTAGCGGGTACTATACCATCTATACCAATGGGAGGGGAGGAAAGGAGGAGGAGGGAGGAAGAGAAAGGAGAAAAAGGGGAGGCGAGGAGAAAAAGGGGAGGCGAGAAGGAGAAAAAGGGGAGGCGAGAAGGAGAAAAAGGGGAGGCGAGAAGGAAGGAGAGAAGAGAACGAGAAAGCAGGATAGGACGACGGTGGGGGGAGAGAGATCAGATTGATGAGGAACCCACAATCCCACTACAAAGCAACTGCAGACACCCCCCTCCCCAACTGCAGACACCTCAGGGGCCCAGCAGATTGAAGGTTCCATATTAAAAGGGGGCTGAGACTGGTAGAGTACTCCGGGTGCCATCCCAGGAGAAGTCTGTCCTCATTACATTTTATAGCGTCCCGAGTCATTTCAGGACGTTGACTTCCCTCTCCCTCAAATGATTTACACCAACCTTCTTTTCAGCTTCATACTCATCCCATGCTGCCTTCCTCTCCTCCTCGGTTAACTCTTCTTCCTCTTTGTGGTCCAGGAGAGAGTCGTGTTCATGATAGGTGACAATCTGCTCCTTAGAGATCTTCAGCAGCTCCGCAAATACAGTGTCCTGGGAGCAAAGAGTGGAGGGTCACGGGGGGGGTACACAGTTATACATCCCATATATATATATATATATACACACACACACACATACATATCCCCGCCCCCCAGTATATACAGTCCGGTCCATATTTATTTGGACACAGGTACAATTTTAGTTTTTTTCAGGCATTTATACATAATACACATTCCGGCTCTAGTCCTATCATGGATCTGGGCGGACAGTGCGCACCCTCTGCTGTAATTGGAGAGTATGTACATCCACATTGGGGGAGGGGTTTTAGGAATTACAGCTCAGAGTAGCAATCCCCCTTATTCAAGGGACCAAATGTAATTGGACAATTGATCATAAATAAAATGTTTATTTGTAATATTTTGTTGAGAATCCTTTACTGACAATGACTGCCTGAAGTCTGGAACCCACGGACATGACCAAAGACTGGGTTTCCTCCTTCCCGATGCTTTGCCTGAAGGCTGGAACCCATGGACATGACCAAAGCATCAGAAAGGAGGAAACCCAGTCTTTGGTCATGTCCATGGTTTCCAGACTTCAGGCAAAGCATCGGGAAGCAGGAAACCCAGTCTTTGGTCATGTCCATGGTTTCCAGACTTCGGGCAAAGCATCAGAAAGGAGGAAAAGCAGTCTTTGCTTGAAGTCTGGAACCCATGGGCTTAACCAAAGACTGCTTTTCCTCCTTTCTGATGCTTTGCCTGAAGTCTGGAAACCATGGATATGACCAAAGACTGGGTTTCCTTGTTTCTGATGCTTTCCTTGTTTCTGATGCTTTGCCGGAAGTCTGGAAACCATGGATATGACCAAAGACTGGGTTTCTCCTGATGCTTTGCCTGAAGTCTGGAACCCATGACATGACCAAAGACTGGGTTTCCTCCTTTGATGCTTTGCCTGAAGTCTGTAAACCATGGATATGAACAAAGACTGGGTTTCCTCCTTTCTGATGCTTTGCCAGGCTCTAACTGCAGCTGTCTTGTTTGTGGGTCTTTCTGCCTTCAGCAAGTGAAATGCATGCTCAGTTGGGTTGAGATCAGGTGATTGACTCAGCCATTGCAGAATATTCCACTGCTTTTCCCTTTACGCTGGCAGCCGAGATCTGGAGGTGGGGGGCCAGGAACAGCAGGGTCTGAGACTCGAGGGAGGGCATGGCACGCCGGGGTCTGACACTCGAGGGAGGGCATGGTACGCCAGGGTCTGAGACTCGAGGGGGGGGGGGGGTGTGTCACGGCACGCCAGGGGCCAAGCCTCAGGGCTGCACACACGGAACAGTACCTTCAGGAGAGGAACTTCTTAGGGTGACAAGTGTCCGGCGGTGTCAGTTGGGGGACATTAGTCTACAGAAGCTGCAGCAGCTTCCTGTCCAGGAAAACCGTATTCATCTTCTCAGGGAGAAGGAGCCCAAATGACTCCGTCAGCCTCTGATCTGCAATACACAGAACCGTCTTGGCAGAACAGTCATAGAAAGCTAATATTTCAAAGACGAGTTTTATGATATTTCTGGGATTGGTGATGAGCTGCCAACTTTCAGTTACAGATACAACCCGCCAGCAGTAGGGAGGGGAGCCCAGCGGAGCACCCCTCTTATTTAACCCTTTGTGCGCACACACACACAAGGCACCAGTACATCCCAGTATACATCCTGACCATGGAGGACCACTGACATTCCAGGACTATTCAGAAAACAGGGCCACCACCAAGACTTGTATACAACATGCCACCCTTGGGGCAGTCCCAATGGAAGGACAAGGCAAATGGTGGAGCTCTCTGTGGTGCCAGTTCCCCCCACTGCCCTGCATTGGTTTGGACCAAATAGAACATGTTGCAGCAAGTCATCATGAACATTAGTGACCTCATGTATGTAAGACACCATGTCACACTGTATGACGTATGTACTACAAGCCCACCCAACTCCACGCTACAGACATACAATACCCCCAAAAGTAGTACAACGTGCGATATCACCGCATCCTCCAATCTATTGTACCCAAAATAAGAAACAATACAGCACTAGGGATGCAGCCCCTTTATGTTCCACACCGTGGAGGGCGTGTGTACAACACTCCGCCCAGCGGATGACATCAGAACTTGTCCTCCCCACCCCCAACTGCTAACCACTTCTGTGGCAAAAAGCTGTGAGAATGGGGAAACGGCAACCGGTCACAGTGAGGAAGTCCCGCCCCAGTGCACGGCCCAGCTGGCCTACTCTTTGGTGTCAAGGTAAGTGCTGGGGCAAGGCCAATGGCTCTGGGCTTGGAAAGCTTTCACCAGAATGGAGTCTGGAAGCCCGAACAACATTCTTGGTTCTAAAAGCCTCACGTGAACTGAAGGACGCCAATGGTCATCACATATGGCGCTGGTGATCAATGACAGCCCAGTGCAGATGGGTACAGAGGAGATCTGTCACACCAACACCTATCAGGCAGTGCAGTAAGGCGGCCTACACAAATTGTGCCTTCCGGAACATTCCCAATCCGGAGTGGCTGGAACTTTGCTAATCTGAAAGCAAAGCCGCCATCTGTACAGAAAGGAGCTAAATACAACTGAAAAGTCCAGGAAATCGGAATCCAGGACGCAGCGGAGAGATTACAGCCAGCAAAGCTGGCACAGGAAGTCGCGTGCCATGTAATTATGTCATTAAGTGATGGAACGAACCTTCTGGGCACACGCAGTGCACCGTCATTAATGGAAAAATCGCAGCAGAGAGGGTACATGGTGAACACACTGATCTGCAAACACAGCGCCAGGCCAGCATGGTGCCGGATCCGGTTTCAGAAGATACTACAAGCAGCGTCATGTATGACATGCCGTGCCAGGAAGACGAGCTGAAGGACTGCATTTGGTAAGAAGAAGCCTGCGATACACAGGAAGGGGGTGTGTGTGTATACACTATAGTGCCAAGTATTGTCTCCGCCCGCCAATCATGTGATTCTGGTGCTCCAATCCCCTCCATATCATGTGATTCAGGGGTTCCAATCCCCTCCATATCATGTGATTCAGGGGTTCCAATCCCCTCCATATCATGTGATTCAGGTGTTCCAATCCCCTCCATATCATGTGATTCAGGGGTTCCAATCCCCTCCATATCATGTGATTCAGGGGTTCCAATCCCCTCCATATCATGTGATTCAGGGGTTCCAATCCCCTCCATATCATGTGATTCAGGGGTTCCAATCCCCTCCATATCATGTGATTCAGGGGTTCCAATCCCCTCCATATCATGTGATTCAGGGGTTCCAATCCCCTCCATATCATGTGATTCAGGGGTTCCAATCCCCTCCATATCATGTGATTCAGGGGTTCCAATCCCCTCCATGGACACAGGTGTATACAATCAAGCCCCTAGGCATGCAGACGGCTTCTACAAACATTGGTGAAAGAATGGGTCGCTCTCAGGAGCTCAGTGACTCCAAGCGTGGGTCCCGTGATAGGTGGCCACCTGGGCAATAAGTCCATCCGTGACATTTCCTGGCTACTAAACATTCCACGCTCAACTGTTAGTGGGATTATAACAAAGTGGAAGCAACTGGGAACAACAGCCACTCAGCCACCAAGTGGTAGGCCAGGTCACATGACAGGGCGGGGGTCAGCGCATGCTGAAGCGCACAGTGCGCAGAAGTCGCCAACTGTCTGCTGAGTCAATAGCTAAAGACCTCCAAACTCGGTGTGGCCTTCAGATGAGCCCAACAACAGTGCGTAGAGAGCTTCATGGAATGGGTTTCCATGGCCGAGCAGCTGCATCCAAGCCTTCCATCACCAAGTGCAATGCAAAGCGTCGGAAGAATGGTCCAACCTTCCCATAGACACCCTCCTAAACCTTGTGGACGGCCTTCCCAGAAGAGTTGAAGCTGTTATAGCTGCAAAGGGCGGGGCCAACTCAATATTGAACCCTACGGACTAAGACTGGGGGGCCATTAAAGGCCATGTGTGTGGGAAGGGCGGGGCCAACTCAATATTGAACCCTACGGACTAAGACTGGGGGGCCATTAAAGGTCATGTGTGTGGAAAGGGTGGGGCCAACTCAATATTGAACCCTACGGACTAAGACTGGGAGGCCATTAAAGGTCATGTGTGTGGGAAGGGCGGGGCCAACTCAATATTGAACAATACGGACTAAGACTGGGGGGCCATTAACGGTCATGTGCGTGGAAAGGGTAGGGCCAACTCAATACTGAACCCTACGGACTAAGACTGGGGGACCATTAAAGGTCACGTGTGTGCAAAGGCCGGCCGCCCAATATTGAACCGTACGGACTAAGACTGGGGGGCCATTAAAGGTCGTGTGTGGAAAGGCCGGCGGCCCAATACTTTTGCCAACAGAACAAGTAGTAAGGGGAAACCTTCCAATTGGGACACCAATCCCGGTGACAACTGTCCAAGAGAAGAATTCCCCTCACTGAAGGACAGGTTTCCTCCAACTTCCCGTTTCCTCCAACTTGTGTTTTGGACAGATAAGGAAGAGAAATTTCCACAACAGGGGACAGAGTGGAAAACTGGATCCTTCTCCCTTATCCACACAAAATTGAAAAATACAATTTGGTCCTCATCACAAAATCATTTTCCTGGAGATTATGGAGGGACACTGGAAATCATACAATGCTGCATTATACGGCCACCTACAGGAGAATTGAGCACAGGAAAACAAACTAGTGAGTTGTTCCAGTGTAACCCCTCCCACTATAATCCCTCTCACCCCCAGTATAAACCCTCCCACTATAATCCCTCCAACTTTCACTGTAACCCCTCCCACTATAATCCCTCTCACTCCCAGTATAAACCCTCCCACTATAATCCCTCCAACTTTCACTGTAACCCCTCCCACTCCCAGTATAAACCCTCCCACTATAATCCCTCCAACTTTCACTGTAACCCCTCCCACTACCAGCATGCCTCAATTTTGTGGAAGAGTACCCAAGTACAAACAAGGGGAGGGGACACCCATGTCCCTCAATGGACTCAGAACTTCCACTCTCATTTCTCATCCATTGGAGGACAAA